AGAAATTGGAGGATCCATACGTCCCAATGTTCAGCCCCTTCATCCGTGGAGCAATCTCCATCACTGAATGCTACAATATCCACGTTATATTGCAAGAAATTCTGATATCATGCGTACTGGTTAACATACACAACAGCACTACTTACTTCAACTTAGAGTTTCTAATCACGGCTAAAATTTCACAGTGCCAAACACATTAAAATTCGTCAAATGTGAACGATTGTGTTCAATAATTAATTCAGGCTTGCCTCCTCGCTGCATTCAGATGAGTGAGATGATGATGTGACATACCAGCTGCAGCGTTCACGTTCGCGGTTTGGGGGGGGGGGGACCAGAGCTACCTTCCAGCGACTCGCTTGCAGTCGGGGGGGGGAGGGGTATCTCGTCGCGTGGATCAGCGTCGACGAAGGCGGCTTCACAAGTGAGTCGCCGGAAAGAGAAAGACGACGAGACGAGGGGTCGTCGCGTGATCTTGAGAGGAAAGACGACGATGGGGCGTCGTGGTTCGAGAAGAAATATGTACGTAGCGGGCGGCGGTCTTCGACAAAAACGACGAACGACAAAGACGACGAACCAGCGGATCTAATCGTGCAGTTGCCGAGACCGAAAACGATGACGACGAAGAGCGGCGGCGTCTATCAGAGGATGAGCGGTTTTCGAGAATAGGATGTAGCGGCGGCGCGTCTTTGATGAAGACGCAAGAGCACGAATGACGGCGGAGAGGGTTCCGACGTTGTCGTCGACAGTGGTTTTGCGGCAGGATGAGGGTCTTCAACAGAGAAGAAAGTCTCTGTGGATGTTACCAGGTGGTTTCGATAACAACGCTCCGAAAGGATGGTATAGTAATTGAGAAGGGGGTAATTTGGCGATATTTTGGTGTGGGTAATGTATGCTGTAACTAAATTTTGGGGCTTGATGTTATTTAGTTTTTGCTGCTAATTAAGGGCTTTGTGCGTTTTAGCGGTTTTTGGGCTTGGGGTGGGGATGAATGGGCCAAATTAAGTTGGTTCCCCCAAGCAATTTTCCCAAAAAAAAAACCCACAAATTGCAACCGCACTCACAGAACAAATGAAGTTGTTGTAGGTAGGAAATCTTGCGAATTTGCAGCGTGTAGCTGGAATTATTATTATTATTTTTTTTGATACTTATTATTAAATTAATAGTATGTATAGTCTCATGTCATCTATTCATCTATAACAATGCGAGGATTTAAGATTCGCAATTCATGATGTAGTAAATACTACAGTAATTATTACTGGATTGTTACTGTGATATTGTTGTTGTAGCCCAAATGAGATTTTTTTAAATATTACTATAGCACTTATGAAAACGGTATTTAAATACAGAATTACTATAGCGGAAATAAAAGAATGGAGGTCGCGTTTTGCACGTGGGTGCACACTAGTCTTATATAGATTTCAATAAGAACCATATGTACAGAGAATAATGTAATAATGTAATTTAGTTGGGACTTAAAGAACCGATACGATCCTTACCGCTGTGCCTGAGATGCAGCAACACTTCTATCTGGGCTTCTAATAAGAAAGGTATTCTCCATGGGCCTTGCACTTCTAACAAGAAATCTACTCTCCATAGGCTTTGCACCCATGGGCCCATTCAATTGTGACCGAACAGGCCCGAGGGCCATCCATGTATTTATTAAATTTATGGCTTTTTTAGGCATCGGTCATGACTCATGTGACAGACACGGAAATGGTTACCATACGAAAGAGCTAGTATGACAATCTCCCGTACATGCCTGCAAAACTGTAGGTGATTGCTCAAAGTTAATTGTAGTTACCGTAAATAACGCATTAATTAATGACCTAACTTCATGGGTCCATATCGAGGTTAGTCTCTGTCTATCCTCTATATATATATATATATATATATATATATTATATATATATATATATATGAGGAATACTGGGTATACTTGGGCGCAAGGATCCTTGGTAGTGATGTGGACACATCTTGTCCATACATCACACCTTGAAGTTGGTGAGGTCCATACTTCAAGGTGTGATGTATGGACAAGATGTGTCCACATCACTACAAGGATCCTTGGTACCAAGTATACCATTTTCTCTCCTCTCCTCTCTCTCTTCCTATATATATATATATATTATATATATATATAATATATATATATATATATTGAGGCTAATAAAAAAAAAATCCTAAACCTCGGCTATTTTGCTCTCTAGTTGATGCAATCTGAATTCTGCATTCAAGATCAACTGAAATTTATCTTGTTGGGAGAGATCGGGCCCAACCGAAGGTTAACATGGTTTTAAATTGAGACTATATGTAAACCAATTTAACTAAAATTTTAAGCTATTGAGTATTAGATCAACTCTTTCTTATCCTCTTCAATGACTACACTCACACATTAATATCCAAAAGTCAAATTTTTTTACATCCGTCCCCCGATTATGTATTTGAATTAGCAGGTGATCTAGTAACAAAATATTTGCATTTTCTAAGGTGATGTCTGGCAATAACGTGGGCTTTTCGGAGCATGTTAAAAAGCTGATAAATTAATGTATACATATAGTAATTATGTATTTGAATTAGCAGGTCTATTAACAAAATATTTGCATTTTCTAATGTGATGTCTAGCAATAGCTGATGATGACGTGGGCTTTTCGGAGCATGTTAAAACGCTGATAAATTAATATATAGTAGTGTTGTTTGTTGGTGGTTGGTAATTAAATTGGCAAGTTGGTGAGGCAGCGACCACAATCTTGGTCTACGCATTTACTCCCTCTAGCTTCAACTAACCGAGCAAGTCACAGCAATCACAAATTTAAGCACGCCGCTCGCAAAGTGCTGGCCGACACTGGGCTTACTCTGTCAAAGCCTATTTGTTGAACTGGTCGTCGATCGGATGGCAAAAGTTTGACTATTTGTGAGAGGAATCCACAAAAATGATGCCCCTTTTTCCCTTTAAGGACATCCAGATTAAAGATATATACACTACAAAATTATGCGGCAAAAATGAAGCTTGAAGACGTCATCTCATATCATCCGTGCGCTAACTAACTAACTAAATAGATAGACTCTATCCGCGCGTCTTTTCCTATCTATTATTAGAGTGAAGGTGGAAATTGGATTTGCATCCTCTTCTCCTGTGAAAATTCACTTACTCGGTCATCGATTATTAATTATTTAGCAAATTGTAGCTCTTAATTTATTCTAAATTTAGCATAACAGCATTGATCATGACATTTGATAAGTCTTAGATTTAGATAGTATAAATCACAAACGCCTAAACAACAGTATGTGCATGTGAGCAAAATGATCGATGGTCTCTCCAACGAACAATTTAGCAGTTGACGAGATACGAATGCCTCGTGATGTTCTAGCGTTTAACGCTCAATTCTACAGAAGCCAAACAGTAGATTGTCCAGGAGATGAATTTCTCGAAGGCTATGATTGAGGAATATAATCTTCATTGTCTTTTTTTTTTTTTTTTGAAAAGTTCATTGTCTTCTTTTTTGACAGCAAAGAAAAGACCGTTCCCGTGCAATTGCGCCGTGTTTTCTCCGGAGATATTGTAGGGGAAAAAGCTACCTCGAAAGATTGCAGGAAGGGAGAATTTTGTGATCCATCTCCCCATTATCCCCGGAAGTCAAAAAAGTTGAAAAGGTTTCATATGCCAATCAAAGGCGCATTCAGTGGCTTGAAATGTTAGTTATATGTACAGGTTGCTCACAATTAATTGTCCTTGATTTTGCGTCTTATGTGCGGGTCCAATCTAATTAACTACATGCCCATAATTTATATTTCCTGGGCCCCGTGACTATAAACTGTAATTATGCTACTCGAAAGAGATTATGGCTATGATGATGATTGAATTTGTTCTTTAGGCATCGAGTTTAATATCTAATCGTACATTAGATTAATGGAGATTGAAGTTTAAAAGTCGTCTAGGGAATAAATTTTCAGACTTTTTTTTAAATTAAAAATATCCATTTTTAACGTCACCGTGACTCAATCTCCGCATTAATTGTTATACATCCAGAATGGAGAACCCGACGAAATTGCGCAATCAGATACGGGAATCAACATCAGCCATTAAAATTTGCCTCTATATAACATCACATAGCTTCGATATGGAAAAGGAAAGGCGTGGTAATTTATGTTGAAGTCTACGCGATAGTCTAGCGTACCGATCATTAATTAGCAATAGCTAGTATATAGCCGGTTTTGGAATCTGAAATTAGTTTTAAAATGGAGAGTATAGAACACGGGCAATACGTGGACTCCAGCTCATGACTGAGGCAACTCCGACAGGTAGGGATGCATCCACAGGGTCGTATGGCATCACGTGCTCCTGCAACTCTGGTGATCGATGACTAATTTTATGTGCCGGTCTAAACATACCCCCGTATTTACTCCCAAATATTGTCACCTTAATACATGGAAGAAAAAAAACACGCACACACACATACCTGCATCTGCGCGTTGCCATTAGAATATATACGTGCTAATATGCGGCTGCTTGTTTCATGTATGATCGACTTAAGAGAATGACACATACATACTGTGCACGCGCGGTACGTATATATGTCGTACTCCCCTCTAGCTCAATTAAATACTGTATTCGGTCTGAGATTTTGGGTCCCATTAATTAGGAGGAACTTGTACGTATATAACAAGCAGTTAATTAGTTAATTCTACAGCAAATTAAAGTGCAGACGTACGAATATGTGTGTGAAAGGGTTAAAGTAACTGAAGATCCCCGGCCATGGGTGGGAGGTTTAACAATACTGTCGGGTGCACTCAGAAAATGACTGCTTCAAATATGTCCATCCGCGTGCAAGCAAAAAATGCACGGGCATAGACTCGCCAAAGTTTTATTTATTTGTTTGTTTATTTATTTTTATTTTTATTTTTATTTTTTGAAATACTATTCACAACTACCCACTTGTAAAGCTTGCTTCTTCACACTCTATATATAACAGGCATTCTCCCCATTCTCATTCTCACTCACAGGTAACTTAAGTATAAGACTATCTTAAGAACCTTAATTAAGCTAGCTAGCTACTTAGGAATCGACATGGCAGGGAGAGAGGAGGATGTCAAAATAGGAGCAAATAAATTCTCAGAGAAGCAGACGATAGGGACGAGAGCACAGAGCTTTAGAGACTACGTAGAGCCACCCCCGGCTCCACTCTTCGAACAAGGGGAGCTAATTTCTTGGTCCTTTTACAGGGCGGGGATCGCAGAGTTTGTGGCGTCCTTCCTGTTCCTCTACATCACGGTGCTTACGATCATCGGGGTGAAGCGCTCCCCCGGCGCGTGCGCTAGCGTAGGATTGCAAGGCATCGCATGGGCCGTCGGGGGCATGATCTTTGTCCTCGTCTACTGTACTGCAGGCATATCAGGTATAGTTAAAGCTTAAAAAAATGTTGGTTAGCAAACTTAATTGACAGAATTATGGCAATATGTGTTGAGATTGTGAGTTTTTTTTTTAAAATTAATTTGTTTCTCAGGGGGGCACATAAACCCTGCGGTGACGTTTGGGTTGCTGCTGGGCCGTAAATTATCGGTCCCAAGGGCGGTGTTTTACATGTTGATGCAGTGCTTGGGTGCCATTTGCGGTGTTGGAATGGTCAAGGGGCTGCAGTCGGCGGAGTTTGAGATGCTGGGGGGCGGTGTCAACATGGTGAACCCCGGATACAGCAAAAGCGCTGGCCTTGGGGCCGAGATCATCGGCACTTTTGTCCTCGTTTATACCGTCTTCTCCGCAACTGATGCCAAGAGGAGCGCCCGAGACTCTCACGTCCCCGTAAGCATCCCTCACTTGCCTAGCTCCTTAATTAGTTCTGTTTCAGCTACACAATTTGGCAACTGAAATCTAAAGAAAAAGACCATATAATTAAAATCAGCTTAAGATAGATAACACTGAAGGCCATCAACAGAACAGATTTAATTAGGTAAATATAAGAAGTTAGTTACGAACTAGTTATAGCCTCTCCTCTTCAGCTAGTTCATACTTTCAGCCCCCGGACGTGTTAGTCATGTCAGTCGTGTTAAGGAGTGATATGTTGAAAAAATTTCTCTCTTATGAGCTTACACGTATAGTAGCCGTTAAAATTTTACAGTTAATTAGCCAGCAATTGAAAGGGAAATTTTGTCATTAGCGTATATGCTGGCATGGTGTACGTTAGCTTAAAGCCTGCAGATCTGCACGCTGCCAAGGTCCAGTAACTTTTCAACCGCCAAGCGGACCTGGGATTTGACTTAATTAGTAGCCCATGGTCCGAGGCTAGCGCTACGTACCATGTCAAATTAAGTAGGCCGAGGAGTCACGTACGCTAAACCTTGATTTTCTACTGCCAACAAAAGAGTGAGAGTTCGTATATATGTTTGAATATTGTGCAACAGATTCTGGCGCCGCTGCCCATTGGATTCGCCGTGTTCCTGGTGGCAACTTGGCACACAAATATCTATCATCCGGGAACGCGCATCAACGCCAGCAGAACCTCTGGGAGCAGCGCCGTTTGTCCTAATCAACAGCAAGGCGCGTGGGACGACCAGTGGATATTCTGGGTGGGTCCCTTCATCGGAGCAGCTATTGCAGCCATCTACCATCAGATTGTCATCAGGGCCATCCCCTTTAAAACCAAGCCCTGATTACTACTTACTTCCTGATCAGCTGTGTATGTGTTCAAAAACCGGGGGCTTTGTTTAAGCTTATGTACAATCGATCATGTATTTTTTTCCTCTTTAATACTACTGAATACAAGGAACTTGTCTGCCAATACTGTCGGGTGCACTCAGAAAATGACTGCTTCAAATATGTCCATCCGCGTGCAAGCAAAAAATGCACGGGCATAGACTCGCCAAAGTTTTATTTATTTGTTTGTTTATTTATTTTTATTTTTATTTTTATTTTTTGAAATACTATTCACAACTACCCACTTGTAAAGCTTGCTTCTTCACACTCTATATATAACAGGCATTCTCCCCATTCTCATTCTCACTCACAGGTAACTTAAGTATAAGACTATCTTAAGAACCTTAATTAAGCTAGCTAGCTACTTAGGAATCGACATGGCAGGGAGAGAGGAGGATGTCAAAATAGGAGCAAATAAATTCTCAGAGAAGCAGACGATAGGGACGAGAGCACAGAGCTTTAGAGACTACGTAGAGCCACCCCCGGCTCCACTCTTCGAACAAGGGGAGCTAATTTCTTGGTCCTTTTACAGGGCGGGGATCGCAGAGTTTGTGGCGTCCTTCCTGTTCCTCTACATCACGGTGCTTACGATCATCGGGGTGAAGCGCTCCCCCGGCGCGTGCGCTAGCGTAGGATTGCAAGGCATCGCATGGGCCGTCGGGGGCATGATCTTTGTCCTCGTCTACTGTACTGCAGGCATATCAGGTATAGTTAAAGCTTAAAAAAATGTTGGTTAGCAAACTTAATTGACAGAATTATGGCAATATGTGTTGAGATTGTGAGTTTTTTTTTTAAAATTAATTTGTTTCTCAGGGGGGCACATAAACCCTGCGGTGACGTTTGGGTTGCTGCTGGGCCGTAAATTATCGGTCCCAAGGGCGGTGTTTTACATGTTGATGCAGTGCTTGGGTGCCATTTGCGGTGTTGGAATGGTCAAGGGGCTGCAGTCGGCGGAGTTTGAGATGCTGGGGGGCGGTGTCAACATGGTGAACCCCGGATACAGCAAAAGCGCTGGCCTTGGGGCCGAGATCATCGGCACTTTTGTCCTCGTTTATACCGTCTTCTCCGCAACTGATGCCAAGAGGAGCGCCCGAGACTCTCACGTCCCCGTAAGCATCCCTCACTTGCCTAGCTCCTTAATTAGTTCTGTTTCAGCTACACAATTTGGCAACTGAAATCTAAAGAAAAAGACCATATAATTAAAATCAGCTTAAGATAGATAACACTGAAGGCCATCAACAGAACAGATTTAATTAGGTAAATATAAGAAGTTAGTTACGAACTAGTTATAGCCTCTCCTCTTCAGCTAGTTCATACTTTCAGCCCCCGGACGTGTTAGTCATGTCAGTCGTGTTAAGGAGTGATATGTTGAAAAAATTTCTCTCTTATGAGCTTACACGTATAGTAGCCGTTAAAATTTTACAGTTAATTAGCCAGCAATTGAAAGGGAAATTTTGTCATTAGCGTATATGCTGGCATGGTGTACGTTAGCTTAAAGCCTGCAGATCTGCACGCTGCCAAGGTCCAGTAACTTTTCAACCGCCAAGCGGACCTGGGATTTGACTTAATTAGTAGCCCATGGTCCGAGGCTAGCGCTACGTACCATGTCAAACGGCGTGGGACGACCAGTGGATATTCTGGGTGGGTCCCTTCATCGGAGCAGCTATTGCAGCCATCTACCATCAGATTGTCATCAGGGCCATCCCCTTTAAAACCAAGCCCTGATTACTACTTACTTCCTGATCAGCTGTGTATGTGTCGGCGTGGGACGACCAGTGGATATTCTGGGTGGGTCCCTTCATCGGAGCAGCTATTGCAGCCATCTACCATCAGATTGTCATCAGGGCCATCCCCTTTAAAACCAAGCCCTGATTACTACTTACTTCCTGATCAGCTGTGTATGTGTTCAAAAACCGGGGGCTTTGTTTAAGCTTATGTACAATCGATCATGTATTTTTTTCCTCTTTAATACTACTGAATACAAGGAACTTGTCTGCTCTCCTTCTATATCTCATCTGCAATTGAAAATTCTGGCTCTGTGTCGGGATCATGCCTAGTCATAAATCATTTCCGATGTAAAGAAATTAAGAAGAGCATATTAATAAATCAAGACGAACATCACTGTACATTAGATTGGATCATGTCCAGTGGGTTGAACAGCATATATAATGGTGTGTATATATGTAAGGTAAATTCATGCATGTGTGCTCCAATATTTTTCCTAATCTCAAAAGTTTTTCCCCACCTGCGGGATTAGTCTCGCGATTGAGTGCCAAACTTCTTTTGAGACAAAGCAAATAACAAACTTGTTGATTTGTTAACTTTTCTCAGGGATCATGGCTTGTTTATGAGCCAGTTGGCCAAATTCTTTACAAATACTAAACTTGTGATCGACCATGCACTGATTGACTTGTTCAGCACCTTACAATTGAGGAACTTGTCTTTTCTCAGGGATCATGGCTTGTTTATGAGCCAGTTGGCCAAATTCTTTACAAATACTAAACTTGTGATCGACCATGCACTGATTGACTTGTTCAGCACCTTACAATTGAGGAACT